CCATATTCTTTATATGTGTCTATCTAATTTTCTTATCTATTTCTCCTTCCGTGTTATCCATGTGACATGTTATTCTACATGCACTTTTCTAACTTTCTATACCTTCTTCTAACTTTTCTTTCGATGCAGAGGACATTTTTATGTGACATTTACAGTTTCATTGTAAACAATATATAAATAATGTTTGTTGCTTCCATACAATATCCAACATTTGAATATGGAACAATGTTATTACGATTTACCACTAAATGAAAATTTCATATACAAGAGTAGAGCTGTAGAAATATAAAAATATGTATATTATTTGAATATTAATGTAAATGTATTGTAAATAATGTTTTTTTTTCTTTTTCCGTTCCACAACTTTAGTATATATTGTATTTATTAATGATACAAATCTTTAATGAATTACGCTTATTTGAAGCAAATTTACTGTTTTGTTGAAATTTCTATCGTTGAATACAGAATTGAGTAGAATTGAGTAGCATTTGTGTACGATAGACACTCAGTTGTGTCCAATGCTCTCAAATACAAACGTGAGCTTTATAACAACATAAATAAGTTTTTGAGTGTTTCATTCGCATGTTGTAAATATTTTAGATTTATTTACAATAAATTTATTAACATAGATAATACATTAAAATCGGGTAATTTATATTTAACTTATTATATATGTACAAGTTGACAGCGACTTATAAACATATATATATATATATGTGTGTTTTCATACAATTTTTTCACTTAAATTACTATTAATTAAACTATTATATATCCATACAGGGCACGGTAGAATATGTATCCGAGATTTTTTTTCTTTTTAATTAAACTATTACATGTTTTCATATAGAGAAGAAACGATAACGTTAATAAGCATCAGTAGAATATGTATCCGAGATTTTTTTTTTCTTTTTTTTTTTTAAACTTTTATAGAAGCATGTACAAATTTAGATATTTTTTCGATGCAATAAAGGTAAGAAGAGTGATGAATACACCTTCAGGGCAAAAAACAAAAAAAAAAAGAGCGATGAATAAAGGAATAAAAGAAAAAGAAAAAAAAGATTGATGAATTACAATACTTTTAAAAAGGAACATAACATTAATGGTTAAAAGGATTTATGTTATTATTTCTTAAGGGATGGATATATTATTTTATAAATTAAATCAATATCATAATTAAAGTGAAAATATGAGAGGGTTAAATTAGGTATTATGAAATAATATCTAAAAAAGTATATATTTTTTTCAACATTTATTAGGTGAGTATTAATTACAAGGGACATCTATAAAATTTAGGGGTGTAAATATAATTGCTCATTATGCTATAGAGGTTATTTGACTTGGTGAGCAAATCAAAGTACTTATAACATAGGGAGATTATGAGCTTCAAGCTAGTTAATAAATAAATTTTCATCCCATTATGACTCGATATTTAACATACACGCATTTATTAATTCACATAAATATAATTGTCCATAACATGCTCTATTCCATATTAAGAATGAATTATTATGTTTATGAAAGTACACATAAAAATATTTCAATAAAAAATTTGTTACGCGCGATATAAAACTATTCTCATTTATATAGATTAGTCTCATGAAAATTTAATCCAAGACTACAACAGGATTCCTAGCATATAGAAGTACCCTTTTAATGATGGCATTTGTGTTGATATTGATAAGTAATATTAGTTCCTTACCAACAGACATACGAGTTACACATTGTTAACTTTTACAATTCTACCTTGAAACTCCAAATAATATGATTAGTCATACAATCAAAAAAATTAAAACACCAATCAATAAGAAAGTCACATACCCTTTCTTTTCTTTTTTTTTACAAACTCCAAATAACATGATTATGGTCGCATACATAATTTAGCTGTAAATTCTTATTAAACCTCATTTTGCTTATATAAGTGGCTTGCTACTAATTTAAACTGCATTCTTTTCCCTTTTTATTCTCATTAGCTTAAAAAAAAAAAACAAAAAAAAAAAAAAAACAGCGCTTTACTTACAAGTAGCAGCTCCAAGTGCAACCAAATGAGCAATAAAGGACTCGACATCCTTAACTGAACTACCACCATCTACCGTGGCTCGAAGTGCCGCTTCACGCAATTGCTTAGCGCTTTGCCTCTCAGCTCGGTCATCATCCCTAACTGATTCCACTAAAACTCGAGTCAGATCGACCGAATCAGAAACATTTCGTTCCCCTTCACACACTCTTATTGCCAACTTCAATTGGTCCAATAATGTCGCATTTATGAATTGGTCGGCTCCCATGGGCCAAGCTAGCATTGGCACGCCCGACATAACCGATTCCAGCACCGAGTTCCACCCGCAATGAGTCAAGAACGCACCCACAGCCCAATGGTTCAATATCAACACCTGCGGGGCCCACCCTTTTATGACTAGGCCCCTCCCTGCCACACGATCTTCGAACCCCTGCGGGACCCTCCCGTAGCCACCCTCCACGTGTGCTTCTGTGGGCTCCTTGATCGACCACACGAAACAGACCCCACTTCTCTCCAGCCCCAAAGCCAACGCCTCCATGTCATCGTTGCTCAACACGGCTAGACTGCCAAAGCAAACGTACACAACCTTGCCATCATCACACTTGTCAAGCCAAGATGTTATGCTGTCAGCAGAAACTGAACTCGGCCCACCTCTCGTAGTGGGCCCAGATTGCTCAA